GTGTGGGGGGGCTTGCCCCCCCGTTCGTGACACGCGGTCGGTGGTCGGTGAGCAGTTGCATTGTGCATCGCCTGCTTTGTATATTCTGTTGTTGTTGTTGTCCTCACTGTTACTATTACTGTTCTATTTTGTTTTATTCCAATTATTAAACTGTTTTATCTCAGCTCAGGAGTTTTCCTACTTGTGCCCTCCCGATTCTCTCCCCCATCCCACCGGAGCGGGGGTGAGTGAGCGGCTGTGTGGGGTTAAACCACGACACCGTATTATTCTTCCTCTGTCTATTTCAGGAACTCTCAGTAAAGGGACTAGTAATAGTGATAGGTCTTCCTTTGAGCCCTTGGACGTTGTCTAAAGAATGTGTTTATTGCCTGTTATTTAAAATCTACTGTATGTAATGTTTCATAAAGGCAAGACTACTTTAATATATAAATTGTTGCCATTTTGTTTTTACTGTGTTTATTTATGTATTCTTCATACTTCTTCCTTCCTTCTTCGTCAATATCTGTGGAAAGTAGATTTTTCCTAGTTGATCAGACCATTTCATTGTCTGTCAGTAGTGAGAAAGTGAGGTTGTGCAGGAATAGAAAAAGGCTGCTTGATAGTTACTAAGAAAGTACCAAATGTAATTCAGTTCCCTCTCAGATATTATCTTACATATCTGTAATTTTATAAGAACTTTTTAAATTAATTAGTCAGAGGACTAAATAGTCACATACGATTCAGGTTAATGGAATACAGGCAACTTCTATGATCTATTTGGGGAATGTCAGTGTCCGCAATATATGAATCAGCCGTGTGGGCTTTGTGACACACATCTGAGAAACTATTTCTTGGTCAAATCCTCCAGACCTGGTGCCTGTATTCATATGCTCGTCTTTCATTCATCTTATAATCATCTCTAAGCAGAAGGGAAATCCCTTATTAGTCACCAGCAGCGGACATCATGTGGAAAGTCACTTAAAGATGAAATAACAATTACCTGCTTCAAAACAGTTGTGATTCTTTGAGATTGCTTCTCACAGATTACATGTGTTTTTATGTGCTTAAATGCAAAGTCCTCCTCCTGTGATATTCTGTACTGGTGACAAAATTGTGGGAGTGTTTAGCTTATTCCACTCTTTATGTCTGTCAGTAATGGAGAGTCACAGGAAGGCAGGAGGCATCCCAAGATTACAAGATGCTGCTGGTCAGCCTATTCTAAAACTACATGTAACATATATATTTAGGAATACATTCCTGAAGTTCAGCTGAAGATCTAGAGAGTAGGAAACAGGCCCATTTCTTTGTATTGCTGTATATCATCTCTTCTAACTTTTGTTTGAGCTTTGTATGGTTTGTTGGACTTAACTAGCTGTATCATATATTATTATGTTTAGTTTCTCTTATTGAAGTTTTTTGCATGACATTAATTTCTTAGTTCTTCAGTTTACCTGTTGGTCACTCCACCTGTATCATGTCTTGAATAGCCAATAAACACCCTTTTATACAGGCTATATCTGCTTCTGTCCTAACAGATTATTCCTCAAATAACTTAATATATAAAAATTATTTTGATCTGCTTGTTCATGTTTCTCTCTTCTTCAGCTGGTCCAAACTCTTTCTACTCTTGTGATCTCAAATATAGAAATGCGGTTTTGTCTTATATCTGGCTCCATTGATGACTTAGTACTAACATATACTGGAATGTTCTTTTTCTCCACTGTACTTAGAACCTTCCTTTTCTGTAATGTTATTAAGCATTGATGTTATATGAAGACATGAGTATTGACTTTAGCTCGGGACACTTGTTTTATATACAGAATGGAAGTGTATGTACAGAATATGCAGCATGTTTTGCAATACAATAGATGTGTGAAGTAATCCTTTATGAATTCATTGTACGAACTGGCTTATTATTTAGTGTCCTTCATATTCCACACTGATGTACTACAGTAGTTCAGTGCAATTCTCTGACTACAGTTTAATGTTGCTTATTACTTAGTCTTTCTTTAACTACTTCTAACAACATTAATCTGTGTATATACATGGTCTACTCTTGTCTGTGTGTTGTACTCTAATTTAGTTTAATTATTTTGTTTCTTTTATATATATTTCTAATTTTGTAGACTTTACTATGCAGCTCATGATTGCATATTGATAAACCTGTATTAGATCTAGAATCTAGCACTAATGATTAGTAGTACAACAATTGCCTGAAATTTATAGCTGTTATTTACAGCGTGACAAAAATGTGAAATGTTAGAGAATAAAACCACTGGGCTTCTTGGCAAAGCTTTAAATATTTTTTTTTTTTCTATCACTCATAGCAAGTGAGCCTTGCCATGTAGAATCATTGTGGAGGTTGACCTGTCTATTTACATAATTTATTTTTCTTAAAATTTGAGTGCATACAACTCAGTTAAATCTACAGGGCATGATTTGTCAAACATCATCTCTGTCTTTGTTATGAGCTGAACAGTTTTGGCAGTTGTGCATTAAAATTATGCAGATAAACGTGGACAAGTGCCTCTTGTGCTACAAAATATGAATATTCCAGGAAGCTTTACCCTTGGTAATATGTTCTAGTGACTTAAAAACTCAGTTTACAATCCAGAACAATTGCTAATTTATTTCTGTATTGCTTTTTCTGATGTTTCACAAGAACATGTTAAAAGGATTAATTTCTTTAATTCTTTGATAGGTATGCACAGAGCTATTGTAAAGAATTTGTATTTTGCCTTTCATTCATTGTCAACTTCCACGTCAGGTGATCCTTTAAAATTAGTATCTTTGGGAAGTGATGATTCTAACATATGGCATCAAACTACTTTTGCTCCCTTTTGAATTATGAATGTTAGTATTTCTTGATAGGAATGCTGGCTGTAATTCTTGAAACCAAGCTGTTTTATAATGTTCTTTCTATAAGTTTTGTTTCCATGTGTAATAGTCTACTTGAATTGTACCATAGTTAAATCTAGAAGTTACTTATCGTAGAGGAAGTAGTCTGCCTTGGAGTGCTGCAGAAGTTGTGTAAATAGTGCTCTAAATACTGTTTGCTAGTCTCTGAGAAATGGAACATACATGCAGGCAGTAACTGCTGGAAACTACAGTTAATAATGACTATGCCTTCGTGTTCAGGCAAATTATTTTTCATTTACCTATGGCAAGGGCAGACCTTTAAGAGAAATTCTAGCTATATCAGCCTTGAACTTGGATTGCAAGACTGTTTGGCAAATTGGTTATGATGATGGGGCTATGAGTTTCAGTCAGCAACCCGGCCCTGCTGGAAATGAGAGTTGCCTTCTCTTTTTGCCATCCATTATAACTAAGAAAAAGTAAATAGAGAAAGACCAGATTTTACCCCTATTCCTCTGTCTCCCTATGCCTTCTCTGGTAGATGGCAAAATAAAATGGGTATCTTGGGCTCTTTTAAGTGACTGCAAGTGCTTGATGTTGCAGACAGTAATCAGTAGACTCTTTTGACATCGGAATTGATTCAGATAATCACTTTTAATCATGATCTAAACCAGCAACCAAGGGACTTTGATTTAAAGCGTCTGTTATAATCTTGAAAAGCAATGCTAAATATTTGTTCTTTTCTTAAAGACAATTGGATTTTCATTAGTTATTAATCATAAAAGGATGTCCATTTGCAACTAAAAATAACCTTTCATTTAATTTTATATTTTGTTTTGTTACCCAGTGGGAGACTACCTGTTTGTGTACAGGTTTATTCATGCTGATATACCTTAACATTTAATAGATTTTTTTTTTTTTTTCCCCCTAAAATGAAGTTATCTGAAGTGTATTTGTCAGAACAGAAAAAGGTAAGCTAGGTAGCACAACTTCTGAATTTAGAACTACCTAGTTCACTAAAGAAAGGAAGTATTAGTTGTAATTAATACATTAAATTAATCATTTTTGGTCACATTACCCTTCCAGATTTTAAAAGGCGAGGACATTCTCTCACACCTCATTTTCATTTATATTTTGGCAGCAGGTTTTATTCTTTTTCAATTTCCTATTAAGACTGAATGAACTGGTCATTGAATTTAAGTTGCTAAAACATTAAAACAAAATATTTTTTTAACATTGCAGAAAAAACTGTTGCTGTCAAGAGTTGGTTTAGCATTTCAACAGGCTGTACATCTAAGTGTTCAGCTAATGAATTGCTTTTGACTATCTTTGAAACTTTAGTAGCAAAAACGTACTACTCAAATATTGTTTGAGTATAGTTTAAAATTATTGATAGCTTCTGGTAAATGTTATGTTAAATATAATTAAAACTGTAATATACAAGTTTATTTCTCAAGTAAAAAATACATTTTTCATCAAACAACTTCGCGTTTCTGATGAAACTTAAACTTGTTGGAGGTGGAGAGCAGCACTTTAAACTGAATGTTTAAATGACTTCGCTATGTCAGAACACTGGTGATAAATTAAATACAAACCATGCTGTGATCACACAGGCCTCTGGAGTCCTGCTACCTATCATGTGTACTGGCAGCCTGTGCCTCTGTTTATCAGACTGAAAACTTTCCCACATTCCATTAAGCTGTTAGCTGCTGCTTTATAGGAGAAAAGGGGCAATACTGGAGGCCACACCGCATCTGGGAATATTAAGACACAGAGAGCTTCCAGCTATGCTAGCATCACAGATGATTATGATAAGACATCTGTATTTCGACTGGGACTGTTTGTGTATGTGCCTTTTTTAAGTATTCCTGATTTATTGTTTGCCTAGCTCTGCTATGTATGTTTTTAGAGTTTACTATTCAGATTTTTGTCAAAAGTGAGCAGAAGCTAGAGAAAAAGGCTTGCAAACCTATTCAGCCACAGGGTGATTAGAGGGAGGGTCAATTTTTTTGCCGAAGTGTTGCTGAGCAATCAATTTTTAGACCCACTTTGTTTTATGAAACTTTTTTCCCATAGCATGACTGTACTTTGAATAAAGTGTCATGAAGTGGTTTTTCAGAGATGTTCTTTATAAGGCCAGTGTTAATTGGTACTTTCTTTTTCAGCTAATCTGCCTGTACCTACTATTGCTGCAATAGATGGAACTGCAGTAGGTGGTGGCCTAGAACTTGCGTTAGCCTGTGATATAAGAGTGGCAGGTAGGTCTGAATCCTGTTTATAGAACATAGAATTATTAGTGTTGCAGATGGCTTGACTAATCCTTGTTTTGCAACAATCTTATAAAACTTATTTTGTATTTGATGTTGTTTATAAGCAATTGTTTTAGAGGGATTTAGCAGAAACCTGTCTACGTACTTGCTAATGTTTAATTTCAAACAACTAACCACTGATAGCTGGATTGGTTTTGTTACATGCTTTATTTTATTCTTATGACCTTCATTTTATCAGTATTGCCAGAAGGGTTATGTCGTTGTTTTGATATTTTATTTAGTCATTAAAGTATTCTCTTTCTCTGTATTTGAAGTGTTCTAGATGGAGATTTGATTTTATCTAAACAGGTTGCAGGAAAAAAACAAAAGTTGTTAGTGAGAGTATTATTACACAAGCAATTAAGCTGTTATAAAAGAAAAGTGACAACAGCACTTGAAAAGAGGAACGTTGACCTATCCAGCTGTCAGAACTGTAAAGGCATTTGTTGGAAACTAAATGGAAACTTGGTCATGAACAGTTGCCGGTAACTTAGGGTATACAAAGCTGTTTGACCCTTAGAGAATTCATAATAATCAGATACAGAATTCTACCCCATTTTTAGATGTTAAATGATAACAGTCTTTTTCTTTTAGTATTTTACATTTTGCAAATGAGTCTGTGTTACTCACTGTAATTGCTTACTTTCTATGTGAAAATTAATAAGGTACAGAACTTGATGGGCGTAGTTGGATCTTTCACTAAAGGCAGATCAGTTGCATCTATTTAAAGATTTTCATAAACAAATGCTTTTTAAGTGATTTATTGTTCTTTATGAAGGAAATTTAATAAATTTAACAGTCTTGTGGGTCATTATTACATATTTTGCAATGTTTTTTTCTTATATAGTAAGAACTCATTTACATTCTGTTTTTCAGCCTCTTCTGCTAAAATGGGCCTAGTTGAAACAAAGTTGGCGATCATTCCAGGTGGAGGTATGAATGTTTTGCTTTTGTTGCCATGGATAACTAAATAATACATGCTCTTGATTATTGATTTTGGATTGTTGTTTATGAATTTCTGCTTATTTTTGTATTTCTATTAAGGATCATGGCATGTTTTAAAGCTCATTGCTCATATTGCTTACCAAAAATTAATAAAAAAGTGTATTTCTCATTTTTAGGGAGTGGCACCTGTATATTATGTTTTTAATTAAAGTCTTCACTAACTAAATAAGTACTGAGTGATTTTGTAAATGACATTTGATGTCTTGATCCTTTGCAAATTATTCAGCCTTCAGATCAAACTAGGAGAAAAGAGTTAAGTATCAGTGTACAAAAATGGTAATTTAAATAATGATCCACTTTCACATAACGTCTGGTACTTTAGGATTCAAATTCTGTTTTCATGCTGCTTGTAAATTGGTTTTAAAGAGTTTAAAACCTGAAAGTATGGCTGTGAATAGATCTTTTGTCTTACCAACATTTTTTGAGATTTTTGGGGTCAAAAACCTCTTTTTTAGTTGGAAGGCCAGTTGATTCAAGGTAAATGGAAGTTATATAATGAATAATGTTTGAGGAGGTCTTTGTGTTATGAAGTCTTTTGTTTTTATTTTATGGATAAATCATTGTCCCTTGAATTAAGATATCTGCCTTTCTGCGGAAAGGGCAATAACTTGAAAACAGGTGCATCGCTGTGACCCCCACCTAGCTTTGGCCTTCATTTATGGAAGTTCTGGGGAACTCTGTACCCTTTCTTTGCCCCTATTTTCTTTCTAGTGGGTGGAACCTATTTTGAAAGCACTGTATCCAATTTTAACGGATACCATTGCAGCTTATGTGGAGAGGACAGTAAAAACTACCATAATGGGAGCACTGGTATGAACTTTGTGTAAGACGCTATCCCATACTATCACTAATCTAGACAATTATTGTACAATTTCAAATGCTTTATTATTATGGTTACTGTTGAGTTGTGATTTCAGTCAATACTTTCTCCCTGTCTCTTTTCCTCTGTGATCAGCACTACATTTTATATTAGGAAAACTGAGTTACAATGACCAGTCACTTTTTAGCAATGGATAAAGTAGATAATTTTAAGGATATATTTCCTTCTAGTGGTGTTGCCATGAAATAATGTGCCCTGACAGTAAATCCTAGTGGAGAAAAAGACAGAAAATTATGTTTATCTTTGTTAGCAATTTTTTCTCTGTTGTCCTCCCACTCCACCATCTCCTAAGGAATTCTGCAGGACAGTATTGGAGACATACTCTCCAGTTCAAGAAATTCAGGTCAAGTTCTCCATATATTCTCAGTATTCAACTTAGGTTGCCTCATGTTTCCTTGTCTTCAGTTAATTATAGATGTTTCAAACTTCTAACTCTTTCACCTTAAAATGGAAGGTGACTGACTCATGAGTTTCCTTCAGAATGTTTTATTGCTCTTCAAAGACTGAGGTTTGAAATTTTTTTTTTTTTCTCATCCTAATAAGATTTAGGCATATGGTCTTCAGCTCCTTGAAAATATGACAGATTTCACCATGTTACAATGTATTTTAAACTTAAAATGTTTTGGGGTATGTTCAGTGGCTAGTTTTTTCCCTATTCTGATCAGTCTTTCTGAGGACTATTTTTGCTGAGTGTATTCAAGCTTATCACAACTTTTTCCTGATCAGCCTGTACTTGCACCAATCCTGTTGAGCGATGACAATGTTTCAGCCCTTTTTGGCTCCTGTCATCCAAATAGTAACTGATCATGCTTTGTGTCCTCAGAAAGTGAAGGATGTGTGAAGGAATTTTGCATATGCCGTTTAGGTAGAGAAGCCAGATACGCCCACTTGAACCATAGGCTTCATGGGTTAATGGAATATTTTCTTATGGTGCTTACTTCAAGCTGCTCTGAGCCAAAGCAGGACTGGGCAGTGGAGCTGAAAAGAGAGCTGTAGCCATTAAGAGGCCTCAGTAGGTTTCTGCTGCCATCTAGTACATCTGAAACACGCTGACGAAATGTGTTGCTTTTTTGAAGTAGGTCCCTACAGCATGGGAAGCTACTACTGTTTTTATTCTGCTCCATCAGCTGCCACGAGTATGTGATAGATGTAAGGATTTTAACCTGGATGATAGTTAACATGGGTGTTTGAGGCTGTATGAAAAACTTCTTTATTTTATGTTTGTTTTTTTTTTTTAAAACCCCAGGAAGTTACACTCAAAAAACTATGTTAGAAGAATGTTACTGGAATTTAACAGTATTGAAATATAGATTCAGGGCAGATCAGCTATGACATTTTGGACCTTGTTGTATGTGGTTTTTTTGTCCTATTTTGAAATGTGGTCATCAAAAGACCCAGTCAGCTGCTGTCTGGTGACCAACCAGTTTTAACATAAATTTCCCAGGTGTGAGAAATTTTGCTTTTGAATATGCACAGAAGTACTGCAACCTTCTAAAGGCTAAGGTTGAGCAGCAGTTAGTTGAATCCCGGTTAATATACCAGAATTAATTGTTCCTTCTAAATCTGCTGAGGGTCTTAACCAAGTAAGCATTTGTAGAGCATGCCTTATCTGTGGTAGCAGGTTGAGTCTCCTCCGAAAATTCACCCATGGCAGACTGCAGAGCAAGGCCAGGTGGGGTGACAGCAGTGCCTCCTTTTATGCAATAGCTTTGTGCACAGACCAGCTGCTCAGGTTGTGAGGGAGAAGGATTAATTCTTCTGCCTTTGGAAATTTAAATCCAGTTCTCTCCACTGTGAAAAAAGCCTTAGCTGTCAGACTGTGAGCTAGGGAAAGCAGAAAATCTTTCCATTTTTCCTCTTCAGTACATCTGACTGTCTAATAAGGAAGTCAAGATTCAGAGAACTAGAGGAACTGTGTAACAGAGAGAAAATGGCTTGGTAAGTCGGTGCTGGGGAAGTTACCTGAGAATGAATATTGATGATTTTTGTTTTCTAAAGAAAGTCTGCCAATCACTTATTCATTGCACAAGTGGTTTTATGCCACCACAACAGGAATATATATCGGACTATTTGCCTGTTCATCCCCTCTTTTCCTCACTTTTCTTGAACTTGGAATCTGTTGGCCAGTCGTGGTCTAATTTCACTATAGGGCAGTGGTTGCAAAAAAAGACAGTCCCTAGAATTTTAGTAGAAGTAGGTGGCCAGATGAAGAGAAAATTTTATTGTCCTCAGATGAAAAGTTTCAGCACAAACTAACCTATTCCTGGGCGTGAAAGAATGGGCACAGGAGGGAGGTGTGGCTGTCCTAGCTGTGGAGCTATGTTTCAGAATATTCCTCTCACTGGACAGCAGTGAGTTCGTATGAGACAGGATTTCATGGGAAACCAGACTTTATTAGCTCTGTGGCTTAGGAGATGCTTGTTATCAGCCAGAGTGGCTTTTCTCAAAGCTGTTCATTGCTAAAAGGAGTTGATTTTTTGGATCTCTTAGTCAAAAAGCTGTTTAAAAAACTTACTTTCTGTGTAACGCTGTGGTCTGTACGGAACTCAGCATAACGTAGGAAGAGTCTTTTTTACTCAAAAATCATGTTCCTTCTCTTTGTTGTTGTTTCCTAAACTGAAGTAAAAAGAAAGCAAACCTCTTTCATTAATTGAATGTAGTTTCTGGTGTCTCCCAACTTGCAAATGAAGTGTTTCACAGTGATAAGTTTCTCCTTAGCTTTAAAAAGTTACAAAGCAGAAAAACAAAGAGCTTTAGATACAAATGCTCCAAAAGACAATTTTCAGCTACCTCCATCCATGATTTATTTCTGTTGTTTATGTCTAGACTTTCACAATGGATGTCATACTGGGCCTGCAATTGATAGATGATGCCTTGCTGGCAGATCTGCTTTTATTTGGTGGTATGTTATGTTATTTGTATACCACTCAGTAACAGATCTGTTATGAGAAGATAAAAATGCTTGTCAGCAACATACATAAACTTTCTTACTCTGTTAATAGAATGAGATATGATTGGTTGGACAAGGGCAAATATTCTGTGATAATAAGAAGTAGTAAAGACAAGTGTATATATAAAAAATAATTTGGGTTTTCTTTATACAGTTTTTCTACATGAAAGTTTCATGTGTAAAGCAGAGGTATTAGCATACATCAACAATTATGTTTCCTCAAAAAAACCAGAATAAAATAATGAAATTTCATTGAAATTAATAGATTTGTGTCAGCAGATAATTTGACCCAGCTAGATTAAAACTGTAGCTACTGGCCTGCATACTTACAGCTGTCACTCCTTTTTTTTGTTCTGTTTGTGAAGACATTTTAGTTAGCAAGGCTTCATTCAACTCATCAAAACGAATTTTGCCTTTGTTCTTCCCTGCTCCTCCCAAAACCCCCACTACTTCATTACAGAGCTGTCTTCCAGTGTTCAAAGGTGAAATGAAGACCCAGCACATAATCGCTGGGATCATGCTTTCCTTGACAGCATTCAGTTTAAAAGCATATTTTACCAAGAAGGCTTTTAAAAAAAACAAGGGGGGGGGGGCAAAAAAAATCATTGTTAAATCTTTAAACAAGTCTTTGTAAATAAGCTCTATCTTCTTTCTGCATCTTAAAGTTACTTTGAACTCTTTTTTCCAAAGGTGAAACTGAAGCTTTGTTACATAGCAGGCTGGACTGTTTTTTGTCTTTAAAATATATTGCAATGGAGAGATTTAATGGCAGCATTTTTCTGTTCTCCTCTTTCCACTTTGGTAACAATATTGTTTTGACTGTTTTTCTAAACTTTAAAATGTGTTTGGGGAAGTTATGGTACTTGTAGATTATAAGATTATAAAAGATGACAGAGGAACACACTGAAAAGAGTGTGCTTTGCATAGGAAGAAAATGAGCGTAAGAATGAAAACTGGATTTAGGTAATCATTGTGTATTTTCCTTATCTCTTAAAGTATTCATTGTTTGCTTTTAAAAACAACATGAAGGTCTCTGTTACAGGATTTATTTTAATGCTGAAAAAAATACTCTATTTTGGATGAGAAAGATGTCAAGGGAATTTCCAGATGTGAAAAACTCATACGGAATGTGATCTTGCTAACAGCAGTAGTTGTACAATTCAGCCAAGTGTAAAGGTTAAATAAAATGTCAGGCATTTCAAGTTGAAATCTGGCGCACATTACAATATATTGTTAGCATATTCTTTAGATTTCTATACTTTAATTTCAACAGTATTAGGAATAATTGCATTTGACAAATACTGAAAAAATTGAAATGTCACCATTTGTGCTAGTGTCTGAGGTAGAACTTAAAGGCTTCTGCACATTTCATGTAATTTTTCTGCATGTAGGTGCTACTTGATAGTACATCATTACAGAGATATTTAGAAAGCACAATCTGCTTATTTTGTATAACTTTATACATCTTACCTGAGTAATCCTCTACCTGTCCATCCCATCTTTATTCCTGCCCTCACTAGCCAACTCATCTTCTCCTTTACTTTCTCCATAAAGTCTCCCTAGTTCTTACATATACAACTTTTTCTCACTACTACTTCTTCTCTTACTTCTCCTGTTTCCTTATCCCAGTCTTGTGTCAGATTTTTATAAATTTCCCAAATTAAATACTGGTAGAAGACAGTTTTAAATGAGCTCCTGAATCATCATCTTCAGCATTTCATCAATATTGTTCTTAAAAAATTAATGTGGAATAACCAAGAAGATGCACTTTCTTATTCTTCTTCCCTTACGATTAAGAAAAACTTTAATTTTTTTTTTTACTGAGGTCTAGCAGTGACTTCTGACGCTTTACAATCCTATTATGATTTGATACAGTAAAAAATTAGTTACTCTAAGAACATTTATCTACTTTTTCTTCAATCATCTGAAGTCTAGATAGCTTTATTTGCATTTTAATATTTTGTAATGTTTATTTTATGC